ATATATATATATAATATGCTGCTGCTGAGGAGGCGGAGGTCGGTCTTGCTGCGGTTTATCATCTCGTTTTGTTGAATTACCCAATTAAACTTTTAATTAAATTTAGTTAAATTTAATTATTTAATTTAATTATTTAAATTATTTAATTATTTTATTTTATTTTACTTTGTTTGACCCGCTTTGCTGCTGGGAGGCGGCAGTTGCTGCTGAGTTTACGCCCGAAGAGAGTTTCTTTATCTTCTTTAAAACATTTATTTATTAATTAAAATAATATTTTATTTATTTAATTTAAATTTATTATTTAAATTATTGTTTATTGCGAACTCCAGCAGCAACAGCAGCAGCAGCAGCAGCAGCACAAACCGATGTTAAGAGGGGCCCCCTGCGATCGAGGGGGGCCCCCTGTCTGCTGCTGCTGCAGCAGCAGCAGCAGCAACAGCAGCAGCAGCAGCAACTGAAGCCTCTGCATTGCAAATAACTTCAGTAGACTGGTGAGCAGCTAACACACCGCTGGCAAGCGAATGCTGCCCCCAGCAGCGGTAGCAGCAGCAGCAGCAGTAGCAGCAGCAGCAACAGCAGCAACAGTCAGCAGCTAGCTGCTGCGGGATCCGTTCCCCTCACCTGCTGCATTTAGAAGCAGAAGAATCGGCAGCAGCAGCAGCTGCTGCTGCTGCAGTAGCAACACTCATTGATGCATTTGCTGCTGCTGCCTCGACAGGATGGAGCAGCAAAAGGGTAATTCAGATGCCGTTGCAGCAGCAGCAGCAGCAGCAGCAACAGCAGCAGAAGCAGTAGCAGCGGGTGCAGCAGCAGGAACAGCAGCAGTGGGTGCAGCAACAAAAGCAGCAGCCGCGGACGGAGGGACGGAAGTGGCAGCAGCAGATGCAGCAAAGGAAGCAGCAGCAGCAGCAGCAGATCGAGAAGCTGCACAAACAACAGCAGCAGCAGCAGCAGCAGCAGCAGATCCAGAGATGCGAACTCCAGCATCAGCAGCACAAGCCGCACTACAAGCAGCAGAACCAGCAGCAACGCCTCCCGCTGCAGCAGCAGCAGGAGCCCCATCAGAAGTCTTCACAGGCCCTAGCAGCAGCAGCAGCAACAGCAGCAGCAGCAGCAGCAGGCCTGAGGTGCTGCGTCTCCGCGTGCGTCTCCCCCCAAATGTTTTCGCTCTGACCGTCCATTCAGAAGCATCTCTTGATGAGCTGATGCAAAGGGGTATGCTGCTGCTGCTGCTGCTGCTGCTTGTGCTGCTGCTGCTGCTGCTGTTGCTGCTGCTGATAGTGATGATGTTGCTGCTGTCTTCGTTTTGTATTTGCTCCCGTTGCTGTATTGCTGCTGGAGACGCTTCTGCCTCTCTTGCTGCTGCCGTCCAGTTTGTTGCTGCTGCTTTTGCTGCTGCTGCTGCTGCTGCTGCTGCTGCGCCTGTTTCGAGTGGAGTGAACATGTTTGGTGCTGCTGCGCTGCTGTTGCTGCTGCTGCAGTTGCTGCGGTCTCAGGTATAAACGAAGAGGACATTGAATCAAGTGAGACAGCAGCAGTAGCAGCCTCCGCCGCCGCAGCAGCAGCAGCAAAAGCTGCTGCTATAACTCCTCGCTTTGCTGCTCCTTCCCTTTACCAGCGGTGGAGCGTTGCTGTTGTTTTGTTGTTGCTGCTGCTGCTGCTGTTCTTATATTTTGTTATTCTATGAAGAGGGGGCACGCACTTCTTACTGAATTAGCTTCCGGTGTGTTTTGCTGCTGCTGCTGCTGCTGCTGCCGCTACTGCTGCTGCTGCCGCTACTGCTGCTGCTGCCGCTACTGCTGCTGCTGCTGCTACTGCTGCTGCTGCTGCTGCAGTTCGCTGCGGCTTTCCGCCTGCGCCTCTGAAGGAAGGGAAGCCGCTTCGAGATATAAACGATGGGGAGGCTTTGCTCGTCATGCTGCATGCAAATGGTAAGCCAGGGTTTAGGGTTTAGGGTTTAGGGTTTAGGGTTTAGGGTTTGGGGTCTATACCCCGCGCCACACGGCTGCAGAGGAGCTGCAGAAGCAGCAACACATCCCTCAGCAGCAGTAGATGCAGCAGCAGCAGCAGCAGCAACAGCATGAACAGCAACAGCACGAACAGCAACAGTAGCAATTGCAGCAGCAGCAGCAGTTGCAGCAGGAGCAGCAGCAGCAAAATTTGTTTTGTGTTTTGCTGCAGCGGGTCGGCAGGCTGTCTCTTTTCGCCCAGTCCCCAAACGCCTCGCGCGCAGCAGCAGCAGCAGCAGCAGCAGCAGCAGGGCAGAGCCGGGTGTCTCCTTTTCAGTTGGCAGCAACATCGTGACTCTCGGGACCCCTAAGAAGCGCAGCAGCTGCAGCAGCACTGCAGCAGAGAACAGCAGCAGCAGCAGCAGCAGCAGGAAGCGCCTCAGCACGAAGGGCCCCCACTTGGGGAATACGGAGGAAGAAGTAGCAGAAAATATTGTCAAGCTATTCGTCAGTTGCTGCTGCTGCTGTTGCTGCTGCTGCTGCTGCTGTTG